ACTGCAGAGCAAAGCAACCAATGATTTAGAGAAAGAAAAGGGAGAGGCAGGGACGGCAAAATGGGGGATGTAGGGAACAAAAGGGAGGGTGGATGGGTGGGGAATCGGGAAAGGTTGGAGTATTAGGGATTAGGGTTTAATTGGGACCAAGTGGTCCCTGTTATGTTTTGTTATGTTTTTTTTTTCTTATTCTAATCTGCGGCCAGGTCCTTTCTGGGCCCTTTTGTTACCTCTTGGGCTCTTGCCAGCCCCTATTTGGGCTGTGAATTTTTTTTTTAATACTTAGTTATATGGGTTTTTTTTATTTTGGTGCCCCCTTCATTTTGGGGCCCTGGACAATTGCCCCTGTGGCACTGGGCCTGGGCTGGCCCTGGATCACTGCCTGCTCAACACACCATTCAATCGGGGAAGGCACCATAGGAGTTTGTGATGGTGCAATTTGTGTTGCTTGATGATGAGCACTTAATGGGGTCTTCTGGAGGAAGAGAAAAACCTAGCGAGAATGATGAGAAATAGACAATCTAATCGGAGAAGGTATCAAACTAAACATGGTAAATACCAAAAATATATATAATAATGTTTGAGAATTTATGTCACACATGCCCAACTTGTCAAGCGAGTTGGAAAACACACTATTAGACACAACCTTAGTAAGAACATTAGCAAGTTGATCCTCAGATCCCACAAATGGAAACATAATAATTCCAGCATCCAACTTTTCCGTGATGAAATGTTGATCAATCTCCACATGTTTTGTTCGATCATGTTGCACTTGATTATGAACAATCTCAATAGAAGCCTTGTTATCACAATGAAGTTTCATAGCACCATTGGGTTTAAAACCAAGATCTCTTAACAATTTTTTCAATCACAACAACTCATCTACACCATGAGACATACCACGAAACTCAGCTTCTGCACTTGACCTAGCCACCACTTTTTGTTTCTTGCTTCTCCAAGTAACTAAATTACCACCCATAAACGTAAAGTATCCAGATGTAGATCGCCGATCAGTGATAGAACCTGCCCAATCTGAATCGATATACCATTCGACATTCAAATGGCCATTCTTGGAGAAAACCAAGCCTCTGCCAGGAGCCATTTTCAAGTACCTCAAAATATGGGTTACTGCATCCATATGAGCTTCACTAGGTGAGTGCATAAACTGACTTACCACACTAACTGCATAAGCAATGTCAGGGCGAGTGTGAGACAAATAAATTAATCTCCCCACAAGCCTCTGATACTGTTCCTTATGAGTAGGAACTTGATCTGAAAATAAGCCTAGACAATGATTCTGCTCAATCGGAGTGTCAACAGGTTTGCAATCTAACATACTTGTTTTAGCTAACAAATCAAGAACATACTTTCGTTGAGACAGAAAAATACCATGCTTGGATCGTGCAACCTCGATTCCAAGAAAATAGTTCAATTCACCAAATTCTTTCATCTCAAATTCAGTAGCTAGGTGCTTTTGAAGGCGTTGTATCTCCTTCTGATCATCATCGGTCACTATCATGTCATCAACATAAATAATCAATGCAGTTAGCTTACCATTTTGTCACTTTAGAAACAATGTATGATCTGAATGACTCTGGATATACCCAAACTTCTTCATTGAACTTGTAAACCTCCCAAATCATGCTCTAGGAGATTGTTTCAAACCATACAAAGCCTTTTGTAACCTGCATACAACACCTTTTCCAGAAGATGTTCTGATACCAGGTGGGAGATCCATATAACTTCCTCCTTAAGATCACCATGAAGGAAAACATTCTTAACATCAAACTGCAACATAGGCCAATCCTGGTTTGTTGCTAATGACATAAGAACATGCACAATATTCAGTTTGGCAACAGGAGCAAAAGTCTCCTGATAGTCCACCCCATAGGCTTGAGTATAACCTTTATCAACTAATATGGCTTTATACCGGTCAATAGAACCATCTGCTTTGTGCTTAATAGTGAACACCCATCTACATCCAACAGTTTTCTTCCCATTTGGTAAAGGAACAAAATCCCAAGTAGAATTCTTTTCTAAAGCTTCCATCTCAACTTTCATGGCATTAACCCACTTAGGGTTAGACAAAGCATCTTGCAATTTTGTTGGAATTGATACACTAGATAGCTGACATATGTAAGATGCACATGGTTTGAACAAACGATAAGTAGACACATAATTATTGATAAGATATTTGGCTTTGGCATGCATATCAGGCTCATATTGTACTTTAGGTTTCCACGATTAGCTCGTGGAGGCAACTGATAAGTAAAAGAATCATCAGAATTTACCTTATGTATGCCACCATCTTGTACCAAACTGTTAGAAGAATCATCACTGGACGAACCATCATTAGGCAACTCGTTAGACATACCAGCAGCAGACAACCGATCATCAAAAGGTAATTCGTCTGACATACTAACAGGTAACTCGTTGGGCACATCTGATCTGTTGTTAGTAGAAATAGTTTCGGGAATGATAGGTGACCGATCACTATCTGTAGCCGATTGATCAGTATCACGCAACATAATAGGTTATGTTCCTAATTTTGCCTGTAACACATCATCCATACTGTCTCTTCGAATCTGCAATTCATTCATCCTCTCTCCTGAAGTGGAGAGTCAGAAGAGGGCTTCATAAAATACAAAACTTCATCGTGGAAGGTGACATCCATGGTAATATAAGTTTTCTGAGTTGGAGGATGATAACACTTATAGCCTTTTTGATTGTTAGCATACCTAATAAAGACACATTGAAGAGCACATGCATCAAGTTTACTCCGCTGATGAGAGTAAACATGCATATACGCAATACACCCAAACGCTTTCGGATGAAGTTTTAATACAGAAACAAGAGAAACATGTTTTTGTAGCACATCAAGCGGTGTCTGAAAATCAAGAACTTTACTTGGAATACGATTGATCAAATACACAGCAGCCAAAACAGCATGACCCCACAAATGATTAGGAACACATTTATCCAACATTAAGGAGCGAGCAACCTCCATTATTTGACGATTCTTCCCTTCAGACACACCATTTTGTTGGGGTGTAAACGGAGTAGTCATCTGGTGAATAATACCATGATCACGAAAAAAGCATGCCAAAGTGTGATTCACATATTCTTTTCTATTATCAGACCTGAAGACCTTAACTTTATTTTGAAACTGAGTAGATACCATTGTACAAAATTCTTGAAGAAGCAACGGAACACCACTCTTATTCTTCATTAAGAACACCCAAGTTAATCGAGTACAATCATCAATAAAAGTAACAAACCAACGGAATCCATTAGAAGTAACTTTCGCTGGACTCCACACATCAGAATGTATCAAAATAAATGGCAAAGTAGCTTTAGAATCACTTACGGGAGAGGAGGCACGATGACTCTTAGCCATGACACATGTTTCACACTTGAACTCTGAATCACTACAAGTGCAAAACAAAGAAGGAAATAGATGCTTCATATAACTGCATGATGGATGTCCCAATTGTCGATGCCACAACCAAATTTGATGTTTGTCATCCACTCTAGCACTTAAAACTTGATGATTATTTGAACAGGAAATAACAGTATCCTCCATAGTCAAGATGTACAAACCCCCTATTCTTTTACCACGACCAATTATCTTCTAAGTTTGAATGTCTTGAAAATAACAATATGTAGGGTAGAAATGAGCAGAACAATATAAGGTATCAAGAAGTCTTCCTACCGACAAAAGATTGCACTTAACATCAGGAACAAGTAAAACACGGACAAGTGTTAAGGTCGGAGTAAGAGAGATAGTGCCTTCACCCTTTACAGGGGAAGGTACTCCATTTGCACTAGTAATATACGAATCACAAACATAGTCACATAACTCATCAAACACTCTAGGGACACCAGTCACATGATCAGTGGCCCCAGTATCAATTATCCATTTTATTTGTTCCATCAAGATGCATAACAACACTATGATTATATTGAGCCATTGAACTAAATCACAAATAATAAAGGCACAAAAGATACGCAGTGGAATAAAAACAATTTACCAGGACACTGTAGCAGCAGACTATTCACAGAACTATAGCAATCACTGTTTACGGTACTGTAGAGGATCACTGTTCACAAAGAAGACACTGTTCATGCATTGTAGCAAAGCGTTGTACTGTAGTGTGACACTATTCATTTTTATTTTTTATTTTTTCAACGAAGGAAATCACGACAAATGTGGGCAGAAAATTAAAGCACAAAGGTCACTAAGAGCGAACTGCTCTGATGCCATATCAAACTAAACATGGTAAATACCAAAAATATATATGACAATATTTGAGAATTTCTTATATATTCATTAATCTCTAAAGTGGAGTATATATAGGAGTTACAATTGGTTTTACATATGTACTTCACCAATGTGGGACAATAAACTATTATTTACACTTTAACTAATATATAACTCGCAACATAAGGAACCCCAAGACATCCGATTTTGTGTGTAGCAAAGACATGATTGACAGTTCTTAATTCTCTTGGTTTCGAAGCATTAACCCTTAAGCCTTAGGTTTGTACATTTGATATATGTGTATTGTGTTTCTGTTGTGCTGTGAGAATAAACGGCTGTGAAATATAATAGCAGAGTGTTTGGTAAGTTTTTTTGTAAAAGTGCTTTTGCAAAAAAAAAGTAGTATGATAGTGTTTAGTAAACTGTTATGTAAAACAGCTGTGACTTGCCTCTTGAAAAAAAAAAGCTGGTTTTGAGAAGCTGCATTTTGTTGCTTCAGCCTTTTGCCACTTTTCAGCTTAAAATGACAGTGCCTTTGAAAATAAGCAGAGTTACTAAACACAAATTTTACTCCAGCTTTTTTTTCATCCCAGTTTTTTTTTCATCCCAGTTTTTTTTTAAATCACCTCAACCCCAAACTGGGGCTATATATTGAGGTCTTGTTCCAAAGCTTATGAACGGTTTTCTGGTACTGCTTCTTGACTGTTTAGAGAAAGGAGAAAACAACATCTAGGAAGACTGGTGTATATATGCATATGCTTCCAAGCTTGCTACCTTTATTTATAGGATGTTTAATTTATTCAGTTACTACAACAGTCAACAGAAGGCAATTTTACAAACAAGAACAACTATACTGCAAGCAAAACCCTCTCAATCAAATTACATTATCGACAACGTGACATTAACTAGTTAATTAGCACGGTTCGTAATCACAGGGTACAGATCCTTGCATCGTTGAAGATTTTGCCAGGCCTACAGAAATAGCCTTTGCTCGGGGCGCAGTGAATGTCTTTTGAGCAGATGCACAACCCTTCTAGTGCACACCCTTCCTTTACTATAGTCACCCCATCCTTAAGTCCAAGAACTTGATCTGTCCATTCACTAGAGAATAGCCCCATTGGATCGTAAACATTTTTTACCCTCAAGAACTCTTTAGCACCCTTGTACTTGTTCATCACTCCATCAAATGCTATGTTCCGATTTTTTCCCCAGTGAGGCAATGCTCCATACTTAACAAGAGCAAGTTGCTCTATTTCTTCAAGTATTCCTTCATGGAGTCTAGGAGTCATAGGGTCTTTACTTCGATAATATGTGATATCGAAGTCGATTGCATCTTTTTGCTTGCCAAGGTAAGCGCTTGAGGTTGTAACATACCGCATTAGGATTCCATTGTAGATTTCTACTCCACATAGCGCTTTTGGTTCAATCTCAACCAGCTTTTGCACATCTTGGATGAAGTTCTTAGCCAGAGACAAGTTGATGCTGAACGTTGTTTGATGAAAAAACTCACCCTTGATTTTGGGATCCCATGCGCACGCTGTGATTCTTGAATCCTCAAGACTATCTAGGCAAGTCCCTGATGATTGAAGCCGGTGCTGATATCCAATAACAGGATAGCCAGTAAAAATCAGACCTGTTTGAAGTTAATATTATTTGGAAGTACTTTTTTTGCTTTAGAAATGGAGTGCAGAATGATTAAGCAAGAAAAGCAGGAAATACCAGGCAGAGTGCATACCATTGTTTGTTAAACCATAAGCACTTTTAATGAGTGTAGATGTAACCAACTTCGCACCAGTGCATTTCCCATCAGCATCACTCTTGGATTCTTGATTCTCCTCTATTATAATAACAAGATAAAGATACATGGATAAATAAAATCGAAACATTTTTTGCTATGGTGCCACACTCTGAATTGATATCTACAATTTGACATGTTTTGTTGTCACATAAGTTTTATAGCATTAACACTCTAAAATAATTATTTGGACTCTAAGAACGTACAAAAAAAAAAATTTAATTAGGAGGAGTGCATAATGATCTTTCGGAGTTCCAATAACAACACACTTTGTAATATATATATATATATATATATATATATATATATATATATATATATATATATATATATATATATATATATATATATATATATGCGTCGTAACGTCTTGAAATGTTTTTCTGAACACTAATTAGTAATTAAGTGGTTAACTATATACATATATAGTAAGCAAACCTGTGGTTCTGACAACTGCAAGAGCAAGTGAAGGTGTGGCTCGAAAAGGAATGAAGTCATATAAGCCATTTCCAGATGTATTGGTGGAGACTCGATCATCCATCCGATAGACTGCCTTGTGCTGGCTAGGGTACCATAGGATGTCTGCAAACTCGTGTTCCTTGCCAAACCTAACTACTTGGTCTCCCAAATCTGAATCGTCCTTGCTCAGATAAGTGATGGATCGCTTAAACATGGGTTGCAAATTTAGAGTAACCTACCCGAGAGAGAGAGAGAGAGAGAGAGAGAGAGAGAGAGAGAGAGAGAGCATATTTTAGTCTCTACATCATGAAATATGTTGCTTATCTCTAATAATTAATGAAATTCTCTTTTCAATTAAAAGAAGGTGAAAAGACAACTTAATCTTCTATCACACAAAAATATAATAATATGCAATAATGTAATTTCATTTGTTCAAATTTTACTAATTTTTATTGAAGCCTCACTTACGGATGATGTTAAAATATCTCTACTATTATTTAAAAAAAAACCAAAAACAAAAACATCTGACTCCCTCACGTTCTCTCTGTCTCCCTCTCTTCCCCTCTCTCCCTCTCTCCCCTTCTCTCCTTCTCATTTTCTAAAAAAAATGTGTTTATACACACAAAATGTGTAGGCAAATACTAATATCTAAAAAAATATGTTCATACACATAAAGTATATAGGCAAATGCTAGTATATTTCATTAAGAGGTTTCTTACTAACAACCAGCATATTTTTACCGCTTGAGATTTTTTGTTTTATTAGTCATTAAAATAATGATCTCTCTTAATATTATTTGTTATTAAAAAAATTGGGGCGTGGAAGAAGGGGAGGGGGTGGGGGTTGAAGTGGGAGTCTGGGAGACGTGGTTTTTATTTTAACTTTTTTTGCTTTTATTAGTTGTTTGACATATTTATTCATGTTTAATTAAATTCAATTATGTCATTTAGTACTATAATCTTATGTTATTCCTCTTTACTTATAATTGAGAGGTCTTAGATTCAATTCTCGTCAAAGACGAATTTGTATCACATTATTGTTAATTCATTGTGAGGCTAAGCCCACATTTTCTCTCTTAATGTAGATAATATCGATTGTTAAAAAAAAAATCAATTCAATTATGTATAAAGTGTTATAATTGTAATTTTATGAAAATTTTGGTTGACGTACTTATTTTGTTAATATATAGAATAGATATATCTAGATTTGTATGCCCTTAGTTCAGTTTGATTTCCATCTAATCTTTATAGTTTATAAAGATGCAATTGTAACTTTGAAGTTTGATTTAGTTTGCAATTAAAGACAAAAAATGACCTCTATCTAGCATTTTGATGGAGTGATGACAGGGTAACACACTATCAATGATTTCCACCAATTATCCTTTTCCCTAATTTGCCTTTTTTTTTTTTTTTTTGTATTTGGCTGGAAAGTGAATGAAACATTACAAGGTTATGAATGCAACTTAAATTATTAGAAACTTAAGTAACGATCGACTAAATCTGTCGACCAAAATATAAACTGGCCTTTTTTTTCTCTTTTTTTTTTCTTTATCCTCCGGTGGTCATGGTCATCATCGCTACTGTCATGGCTGGTGTTTGCGAGTAATTTTACTCGAAGTAAATTATTAATTAAGGGATCAAATATATATATAGAAAATTTTTAAGGAAAGGGATCCTTATTTTTTTCTATAAAAATAGAGATTAGTTGTGAAGTCCATACTACATCGAACTTTAACGATCTGAACCGTCTATTTTTCAAGTTGCACCTTATAGATCATCCTTGCAAAATATTACCAAATCGAAATATTTAAGATATCTAATTGGGTTCAAAGAAGTTAACGAATAATTTATTATATAAAAAATATGAAATTTTATCTTGATAATTAAATAAGCAAATGGTTTCGGATTGAATTGAATTTTTGCAAGGATGATCTATGAATCCAGAACAAAATAGACGTTTGGATCATTGAAGTTTAATGTGGAGTGAACCCCACATCTAATCCCGATTTTTTGAAAAAAAAAAAATGAGAATCCCTTTGCACAAAGGGCATACGTAACTGATCCTAATACTAATCTTACGTTTCCCCACTCTATCTCACATTGGACTAATCCCAGTAAATAACTGATCCCATTATCACAGGGCAGTAAAATAAGCATTTTTCATCGTATAAGTTTTTGTTCCTAATATGTAACGTAAATTAAATGAAGGAATGAATCGAAGATCAAGTTGAAAAGTACAAATTCGGTAACAACAGAAATCTATGCAGATTTTAGCCCTAGTATCCGATTTGGACCGATGATCACGAATTCAACCCATTTCTTAACCGTGACTAATGGTTTTTTTGGGCCGAATTCTATGTTTACAATGTTTTTTAGCATTCTAACTTTAGGACCTTTTTTTGGTATTTTATTATTTGTTATTTGTTGAACTCTTTTACTGTTTTGCTCCTAGTCCTAGAAAGTTCAGAACTATATAAATCACCTTTGAAGTGTTAGGGCTGGCCATTTTTTCATAATGTCAAGAGATATATTAAGGAGACCACACATGTTGTACCACATGTTATAGCAAAATTGTGATGTATAATCAATTTTTAATGAGATAAACTTAATTTTATTAAAAAAATGAGATGAACTTAATAATTGACATGACATGTGCACGTCATTTGTTATACACAATGGTACCAATGTGATCCAAAAATAGTCTCCTAAGAATTTTCCTACATTTCAATCGATAAACTTTAACGTTTTATCTTACTTCTGGTATATTCTAATTTTCTTGTTCTCTAAGGTTATCATTTGATACCTTCTCTTTGTCAAGATGCGTCATAACGATGATACTGTTTAAATCTCTTTTTATTGGTTATTAATTTATACTACATTAAATTACTTTCTTATGTGGCAAGTGATATATATAACCAATATCTAATGAAATAGATTCATTAATTGGCATTGCATGTATATAAATGTGATATCCTCACTATTTTCATTAAGTTACATTTATTATATTGTTTATACCTAATTTGTATATTTTGTAATAGTGCCTTAATTTGTATCACCTCTGTAATAGAGGTACGACCCACTAACACTTGTGCGTTTCATCTCTATTAGACGGATAATACAAATGTAATATGAAAAATATGGTAAAAGTAGCATATTTGTTTTAAATATGTATGCCTTTTGTGCACATGAATAGTCTATGAAGTTCTTTAGGAATGCCAAAAACAGTAATAATAAAAAATACCTGGGAAATTACTCCTAGGACTCCAAGTGAAACCTTAGCTGCATTAAGATCTCTATCGCCATCATTGAGCCTTCGGACCTTGACATAACCATCCCCAGGTCCTCCTGGACTCACAATTGTAAGTCCCACCACATAATCATGAATCGAGCTTCCATTGCCCCACAACGTACTACCATGTGCCCCAGTCCCTAATAAACCTCCCACGGTTAAACCCCACCAATATGGTGTATAAGGCAAGGCCAGCCCTGCCTTGGCAGCCTCACTGATGAGCTGCCTAAGAGTCACACCACTCTCCAATGTCATCGTCTTTGCTTCAGCATCAATCTCCACCACACGATTGAGGTACTTGGTGCTTATGATCAACCCATCTTCCCCACTTGGACAAACCAGCTTTGGAATGCTATGAGAGTAACGAGTTGCCACCTTCATTTTGGTCTTCTTCTTTGCTGCATTGGCCACTACAGAAATTAGTTCTTCCTCGTCCGAAGGATATGCTACGCTGCCTGCTCGACAAACCGATCGATCGGGGAAGATGCCGTAGGAGTTTGTGATGGCGCAGTTTGTGTTGGTTGATGATGAACACTTTATGTGGTCCTCTGGAGGGGTTGAAATGCACACCGAGAATGACAAGATGAATAGACAAATTAATCGGAGAAGGATCCCCAACTTAACTGAGTTTGTGTATAACAAAGGCATGCTTGATGTGGTTCTTCAAATTTCTTGGTCTTGAAGCATATATTTATATGTACCCCTTAGCAGGTACATACTAACTTTAAAAGTTTTTAGATTTCGTGCTAAGTATATATACACAAGTTTATAAGTCAAACAAATATATATATATATATATATATATATATATATATATATATATATATATATATATATATTTGTTTGACTTATAAACTTGTGTATATATACTTAGCACGAAATCTAAAAACTTTTAAAGTTTGGAATGCTTTGTAGACAATGCATAAAGGATAAACTTAAAGTTAATATTATCGGTTTATCATACTTATAACATAATATATATATATATATATATATATATATATATATGACTTTTTAACCAAAATGGTCCTAAAATTTGCATAATTCCTTATTTTGGTCTTTGAGATTTGAAATCAATAGAAGTGGTCATTGATATTGTTCACCATCAATCATTTTGACCATTGGGTGAAAAAATTATGTTAAATAAGGATTAAAATGACAAAATTACTCTCAATTAAATAAACAAAGAGAGAAACTTTTTTGAATTGGACATGCCAAAATAATTTGACCAAAATTGAGGGTATTTTTGTCATTTTATTCTTATTTTATGGAGATTTTTCACGAAATAACCAAAATGATTGATTGTGGATAAACTCAGAACAAATTCTATTGATTTCTAATCTCAGAAACCAAAATGAGGAGTTATGCAAAATCTCATTAATCATTTTGGCTAAAAAAAATCTATATATAGGTGATATATCGATTTTTATTTTATTTTATTTTATTTCATTTTATTTTATTTCAATACTAGTTGGTACTTGGGAGTTGGTCAACCAGATATTAAGATCATAATCCCTTTTTCCATATTTGATATTGTCGGTTTGGCATCGTGACATGCAGACAGGTGTGGTCATTGAAACAGCTGGATTATTTTCTTTAGCTTGAAATCCACGAGTGTTTGTTGCTTTGCAATTAGTGCATGGTAACTTCCAATTGAATGAGCTGTTGAAGTACATAGACAGATAAAGAGTGGGGAAAGGGATGCGAAGATAGGTGTCGTTCAATTTGGATACTACTGGATTCTAATTTATATGATGCGTGGAGTGCATGCGAACCAATAATACTAAACAGGTAGAAACCCTATCAAAAGTATTTCAAAACCAATACTGCACTAGTGCTCCACAAGACTAGTTGTTTCTGTAGTGTGGCAACAGTGTAGTGGTTTTCTTCTTTGTGGAATTTGTGGTGGCTTAAGTGGTTCTGGTCATCACACTTTTCCATCAATTATAACTATATATATATATGTGTGTGTGTGTGTGTTAAGAGATCCCTTGTTTTATTATTAAATTAGGGTTCCAGAATGGGTTTAATATATACAAGAAGATAAAATGATGTGATCAGGTACACTGTACGCACCATCTCTAATATAGTGATGGGATGATGCCGACTTATCAAGTCATAGATGAAAGCTATTTAAGGCAACTACCCCCAATTTTCAGGCTGCCGTGATGAAGTCGTCACCTTCTCAAATGATGATATGATGAACTCAAGAAAGAAAGCAGTAATCAGTGTGCAATAATCCCATTTGGGGATGCCATGCATGGACATGAGAGAAAATTTCATTCCTTGCTCCATGCAGAATTAATTGGAAATTTGGTATTTCAAACACTTAGACAAAAACTCATTCCTTCTCGACTACCTAATAGTGCATTATAGTTTTAGTTTTATCGATTCACGATATGCGTTGCAATTTTTATTAATATTATTAGTCACATCTAATATTAAATTTTAGTGTGATTATTTGTTTGAGACTCATTTTTTAATTATTTATTTTTGTATTTTAGACTTAAAAATATTTTATATGGTTAATTACTTATGACACAGGGTTTACCTCCGCCGGGTTTTGGGCTTCATCCAAACTCGAGATCATGTCCTAGAAGACGGGCCTCTGCGAGGATGCCCCCTCACCCTATCACTGAGTCTTTGGAAGCGGTTTAAGTATCATTTCCATCTGAACCACTTACATATTAAGAGAAATATGCGAAGATTCCATCCGGAGCCGAATCACTAAACAAGTAGAGCATCTCCAGTAGATTCCCTAAATAGGGACAACCATCTTATAAAATAGGTATAAAATAAATATCGGGACAACATTAATCTCCAAAGGAGCGGAAAGTGAGTCCCCAAAGTATAGAGACTCACTGGATACATAATGTATGTCCTCATATATAGGGACTGTATACGGACAACCTTGAGTGGAAAACGGGACCCACAATCTTAATTGAAGCTTTTAATGTTTTTAATTTTAATGCTTTTAATTAATTAAAAATTGGTTAATATAAACAAAAAAATGTGCACTCTGAGTGGAAAACAAGACCCATCAATCTTGATTGAAGATTTTATTGATTTTGATGCTTATGATTTTAATGTTTTTTTTATTTAACGAAAGCTTGATATTTTATTGAATTCAAAAGAACTACATCAAATCCTGGCTGAGGAGGTCCTGAATGAGATCAGGAGGGTCCTCAAACCATACAATTTCATTGCCAATAGAAACAACAACAACAACAACAACAAAGCCTTTTCCCACTAAGTGGGGTCGGCTATATGAATCCTAGAACGCCATTGCGCTCGGTTTTGTGTCATGTCCTCCGTTAGATCCAAGTACTCTAAATCTTTTCTTAGGGTCTCTTCCAAAGTTTTCCTAGGTCTTCGTCTACCCCTTCGGCCCTGATCCTCTATCCCGTAGTCACATCTTCGAACCGGAGCATCAGTAGGCCTTCTTTGCACATGGCCAAACCACCGTAACCGATTTTCTCTCATCTTTCCTTCAATTTCGGCTACTCCTACTTTACCTCGGATATCCTCATTCCTAATCTTATCCTTTCTCGTGTGACCACACATCCAACGAAGCATCCTCATCTCCGCTACATCCATTTTGTGTACGTGTTGATGCTTCACTGCTCAACATTCTATGCCATACAGCATCGCCGGCCTTATTTCCGTCCTATAAAATTTTCCCTTGAGCTTCAGTGGCCTACGACGATCACACAACACGCCGGATGCACTCTTCCACTTCATCCATCTAGCTTGTATTCTATGGTTGAGATCTCCATCTAATTCTTCGTTATTTTGCAAGATAGATCCTAGGTAGCGAAAACAGTCGTTCTTTGGTATTTCCTGACCTCCGATCCTCACCCCTAACTCATTTTGGCCTCTATTTGCACTGAACTTGCACTCCATATATTATGTCTTTGATCGGCTTAGGCGAAGACCTTTAGATTCCAACACTTCTCTCCAAAGGTTAAGCTTCGCATTTACCCCTTCCTGAGTTTCATCTATCAACACTATATCGTTTGCGAAAAGCATACACCAAGGAATATCATCTTGAATATGTCCTGTTAACTCATCCATTACCAACGCAAAAAGGTAAGGACTTAAGGATTGTTGATGCACAAAATCAGTGAGGACTTTGGTACAACAAAAAGTATTAAGTTTGTGATCTTCGCTAGATTGCTCCAGTCATTAGTGTGGATAAGTATGTAAATGACAGGAAAGCAAACACAAGATGTACGTGGTTCACCTAGATTGGCTACGTCCACGGAGTAGAGGAGTTCTCATTAATTGTGAAGGGTTTACACAAGTACATAGGTTCAAGCTCTCCTTTAGTGAGTACAAGTGAATGATTTAGTACAAATGACATTAGGAAATATTATGGGAGAATGATCTTCGTAATCACGAAACTTCTAAGTACCGAAGTGTGGTATCGTCTTCACTTGCCTTATCTGTCTCATAGGTAGATGTGGCATCTTCTCTGGAAGTACTCTTCCTCCATCCAGGGGTGGTATCTTTAACTGGTGGAGATGCATAAGGTAATGTATCAATTTCACTTGAAGCTTACTTGTAGTTTCAGGCTTGGTCAAGTGCGATACAAACCATGTAGTAGGAGTCCCCCAAGTCGCCGAGCTAGGGGATATGCTGAAAGAGGTGACAGACAAGGTAAGCAATCAGAGCTCCAAGCAATCAGTCCCAGATCAGAAGTTTGATTTTGAGTTCTGGTTGATTGTTCTCATTCTCCCTATCTTGCAGGCAGCATGAAGGATAAAGAGAAGAAAAAGGAGAAGAGATGATATGAGATACTTTTTCTTTTGAAGAAGTAACTTTCCACAGGCTTATTCTTGAACTGGGCTGGAGGGTTTTCTGGTTTCCTCTAGAGTATAAGGCTGACTGAAGAATTTGAGGGTCAAAACAAGTCCATCAAATCTAGAGTACGTTGACCCTACGGATATGAGATACTTTTGCTGTTGACAAAGTAGTGGATGTATCGGCACGTGTTCTGTTACGCTTGTCTCCACATGCTTCCTTGTATCCTTATCATTTTCCCTATCTATTCCTCAGGCAGATGTGGTATCTTCTTTGGAAGCATAAGATGTTGAAGATGAGTACTCGAGAGCAATGCCAGGTAAGTAATCAGGTAAGGGGTTCCAGGCAGTCAGTTCCTGACTGGAAGCTTGATTCCAAGTGCTGACTGATTGCTCTCTTTCTCCTTATCTTGCAGGTAAGAACAAGGCCAAAGGAAAAGACAGGGAAAAAGCATGATATGGGATACTCTTGCTTTTAACCCTGATGATAGGAGATATTCTTGCTCTGGTGTAGCTTGTTTGCAGAGGTATTATCGGGGGTAAAGAAAGCTAAGTATTTCGAGAGGCTTCGTTGGGAGTGCCCTCTCAGATATGAGGAAGGGTTGAGCATTTTTGCAGGTCTGCCTATCCGTTGAGGATGGAGGTCGACATATATAGGAGTCTCCCTAACAACAAGTAGTAATGCTATTCCTTTACCGTGCTTGGTCATAGCACGGTAGTGGGAGCTGCCAGCTTCACGTGTTTTAACTCTGTCAAAGCACTTTGAAAAAATGGTCTGTGGTGCCTCTTCGGTTTTCGAAGGAGATCTGGCTTTATCCAAGGAGATCTGGCTCTCGAAGTTGAGAAAGCTGATGTTGCGTGTGAAGATTACAGACAAGCTTTATCCAAGGAGATCTGGCTCTCGAAGTTGAGAAAGCGGTGCCTCTTCGGTTTTCGAACAGACAATCCTGTCGGGGATCTGCCTCAAGAGATTCAGAGAACGGTGCCTCTTCGATTTTTGAGAAAGCAATCCTGCTGGGAGTCTGGCTCTCGAGATTTGAAGAGCGGTGTCTCTTCGATTTTTGAGAAAGTAATCATGTTGGGAGTCTGGTTCTCGAGATTTGGAGGGCAGTGACTCTTTGATTTTGGAGCAAGCAATCTTGTTGGAAGTGTTTTCTCGAATGTGAGTAAAGGTTGGGCATGTTTGCTAGTCTACCTTGCAACGGAGCATAGAGGTTGACACACAGGGACTTTCCAATTATCCAGCAGTGGTGATGTTCCTTTACCTTAGTGGGAGCTGCAAGCTTCACGTGTTTAAACTTTGTCAGAGATCTTTGGCAAAGTTATCTATGGTATCCATGAGCTGATGGTGCGTGTAGAAAGTGGATGATTGAACAGTAAGATTCACGTGCTTTCTACTTCACCAGAAATCTTCGACAGAATGCCCGTAATTTCAGCTAAGCTGAGTGTGCATGTGACAGGTGCTGACAAGGCTGAAAAAGCAGGTGCCTCTTCGATTTCTGCGATTGGCCCTCGTGGTCTCTGAGCAGCCCAGCTTTTTAGAAAGCAAGCGCCTCTTCGATTTCTGAGATCAGCCTTCGTGGTCTTTGAGCAGCCCAGCTTTTAAGAAAGCAAACGCCTCTTCAATTTCTGAGATCGGCCCTCGTGGTCTCTGAGCAGCCCAGCTTTTGAGAAAGCAAACGCCTCTTCGATTTCTGAGCAGGCGCCTCTTCGATTTCTGAACACACTTGAATCTCCACCAATAGAAGCTCTCTTCTTACACTTCTAAGATCTTGATTTGTCCGACCTCTTCTCTCTTCAACACCTTTGAAAATGTCTGGCCCCTCCGACTGTCGTTTTGACTTAAACCTTGTTGAAGAGGCAGCCACGCCTTCTCCAGACAACATATGGCGCCCATCCTTCTTATCCCCTACTAGTTCTCTTACCGTTGGGGATTCCGTGATGAAGAATGATATGACCGTTGCGGTGGTGGCTAGGAACCTTCTCACTCTCAAAGATAACAGACTACTTTCCAAATGGTCTGATGAGTTGGCTGTTAAGGATTCTCTGGCTCTGAGTGTTCAGTGTGCAGGTTCTGTGTCTAATATGGCCCAACGCCTATTTGCTCGAACCCGCCAAGTTGAATCATTGGCGGCTGAAGTGATGAGTCTCAAACAGGAGATTAGATGGCTCAAGCATGAGAATAAACAGTTGCACCGGCTCGCACATGACTATGTTATAAACATAAAGAGGAAGCTTGACCAGATGAAGGAATCTGATGGTCAGATTTTACTTGATCATCAGAGGTTTGTGGGTTTGTTCCAAAGGCATTTATTGCCATCGTCTTTTAAGGCTGTACTGCGTAATGAAGCTCCAAATGATCAACCTCCGATGCCTCATCCTTCTAGGGTTCTGTCTAGTACTGAGGCTCCGAATGATCCCCCTCCGGTGCCTTCTCTTTCTGAGGCTCTACCGACTGCTGAGACTTCTCCTAAGCAACCTTTGTGAAGGTTCCCTCTTGTTTGTTTATTTTGACTCATGTATATGTACATATTTGTAACTTATCGGAGATATCAATAAATAAGCTTTGCTTCATTTCAACGTATTGTGTTAAATACACCAAAGCCTTCTTTACTAAGTTCTTTGATTTTTTTCTTTTGTTGAAGCTTGTATGTTTAAGCTTTGTGAGTGGAGCATGTAGGTTGAGGTAGTTTCCCTTAATTTCCCGAGTGAGGAAAACTTCTTGGTTGGAGACTTGAAAAATCCAAGTCACTGAGTGGGGTCGGCTATATGAATCTTAGAACGCTATTGTGCTCGGTCCTGTGTCATGTCCTCCGTTAGATCCAAGTACTCTAAGTCTTTTCTTAGAGTCTCTTCCAAAGTTTTCCTAGGTCTTCCTCTACCTTTTCGGCCCTGAACCTCTGTCCCGTAGTCGCATCTTTTAACTGGAGCGTCAGTAGGCCTTCTTTGCACATGTCCAAACCACTGTAACCGATTTTCTCTCAGCTTTCCTACAATTTCGGCTACTCCTACTTTACCTCGGATATCCTCATTCCTAATCTTATCCTTTCTCGTGTGCCCACACATCCAACGAAGCATCCTCATCTCCGCTACACCCATTTTGTGTACGTGTTGATGTTTCACCGCCCAACATTTTGTGCCATACAGCATCGCCGGCCTTATTGCTGTCCTATAAAATTTTCCCTTGAGCTTCAGTGGCATATGGCGGTCACACAACACGCCCTATTTCTAATGATCTAAGTTCTACTTGCTTCGGCTTACTATCTATGAGACCAACAAGCTCTTTTATCTCTCTTTGCTAGGAAACTTTTGAATATTTTTATTATTATCTTCTAACTGAGATGTAATATAATCTAAATTTTGTTTAATTATTTTTATAAATTTTTTTTGAAAATGCTCTAACAACTGGTTTAACAAATGATTATGCTTATTATTTTCTAATTTTATATTTTCTGCTTGACTAATAATAAGATCTACAATACTATTGGCTTGTGGATTTTCTTCATTATGCAAAATATTATTATGCTTTCTCAATGGAAAATAACAAAATAATCTATTTTGGTCAAAGGTTATTTTTCTTTTTTAAGGTTCACTAATTTCTAAATTAAGATAATCTATCATAAACTATAATCTACCTTTCTCTAAAGTTACAACTAATTGGTTTCTTAGAAACTCTCTTTCTTCTCTCAGGGTCTCTAAAACTTTTTTTGCTACTCTTTATGCTTCTAAAACTTTATGTTGAACTTCTGTATTATTATATTTACTAATAAATGAAGGATGTTCAAGATAACCAAGATCAAACTTCTGCTTCTTCAAAGTACTGGTAATTCTTTTGGATATATATGCTAATCTTCTCTTTATGCTATTTATAGTTGGATGTCTGGGATAATAAATACCTGGTGGTTGTGGCTGACAAGGTCTACAAGGACAATAATATCTGTTGTTCATACAAAATAAACAAGTGTGATATCAGTTGTGTTAACGACTTTCGTCTTCAAGGTACTTTACTATTATAATTATACTATTAAAATGCTAAACTTGGCTCTGATACCAAATTCGCACAGCAAGGCCAGGTTAAATAGTCGGATGGCCATTATAACTAGACATAGAACCTTGCACATGGAACTCGACATGTTTAAGCATGACAGCCACTCACAGTACAAGTATAAGGCCTTAACGGCTGAACTCAGAGGTACGAATAACTCAGAGGTACCCTAGTTAATGTCCAGTTATTTGTATGGCAAACATTCAACTATAATAGAGTGCTCGAATAAAGTATGATCGTTAGTTTAGCATGTTAATAATATAACTACAATAGTATTTCTCTGTTTTGGACTAGAAGTCTAATTAAACAAACACACTAAAGAAGGAAAAGAAAACTTATTTAAGACTTGGAGATCAAGGTCTAAAATATCGATATTATCAGCGAAATATAGTTTTTTTAGAGGGTAATATTTTCACACTTATCCACTTAATTATCGTCAATATATCGTGATATTATTGATAATATCGCCGATGCTCAATCGTCGCAAATGCAGCCGAGGCTCCGTCGTCGCAGCTGCCAAGATCTGCGCCTCTCTTTGCAACCCACCCTCAGACCCATCAAAATGAGCAATTCCTTAAACACATTGGTTAAGGTTTCGGCGTTGGTGTCCCATCCGAGACCATGGAAGAAGATCTTACGGTGGATTGGGTCCTCATCCGCAACCTTCCGAATCTGATCCACCACGTCGCCATGGTTATCGACAGCGTAGAAAATGAGGGCGACAACATAAAATATGAAAAAGAAAGAGAGAGTGAGAGAGAGACCAGTAGAAGGAATAATAGTGCAGTTACTGGAAAAAAAAGGAAAATTTTGACCTGGACTCTTCGGATTTCTTCACCGGAGTTGGCAACGTTTTCAAGGATCTTTTCTGCGCTAGACTAGGTTTTGGGAAATTTTGCAGGGCAAGAAGATGGGGAATTAGGTGGAGAAGATGATGGAGAACAATGATAATCCTTTCATCATGCAATTGATATTGAAGTATAGAGAGAGAAAGATAAACATTTCAAATGTAGTGGATGAGAGAGAGAGAAGCTGTGAAGAAAGTGTTGCGGACTAGGATATCAAATCCAAGGTCAAAAGTTGATGGTTTTAATTATGAAAACCATGGACTCTATGGTTTTAATAATGAAAACCACCCAAGGTGGACAGGTGATGTGAAAGAGCAAAGGTGTGGTGGACGGGTTGATGGTTTTAATAATAAAAGCCACCACACAGTGGGCTTTTTATAGTTTTAAAAGTTTGTTATATATATATTGTGTGTGTGTGTGTGTGTGTGTGTGTGTGTAAATCTTATATAAATTATTTAGATAATCTTTTTTTTTCTTACGCAAGCATATCATATATGTACATAAAACATTCACATATGTATGTTTTTCTAAAAGAAATAACATATTAGTCAATAATTATTTACATTTGATATAGTAAATTTAATTAATTCATAAAATATATAAAAAATTTACCAAAATCCGCCTAGGCTGCCCATGCGCCTACCTGACCCCGCCTAGTCGCTTAGGCGCTAGGCGCTAGCCCACCGCCCGACTAGCACCTAGCGTTTTTGAGAACCTTGCTTCAACTACAACCTGTTGTTGCTTTTTGGTGGGTTCGAAGGGCTCAGAGGAGCTAAGCTTTCATTTTTTCGCCATTAGAGGAGGGGTGCAGGCATCGTGGATAGAGAGATTTGAGGGTTAGGGTTAGGGTTTCTTTAAGGAGCTGCTGCCGGTGCCCAAGTGAAAACGCAGGAACTGATTGGGAATCGAGAGAGATGCAGGGTAAAAGTATCCTCATCTGTTTAGGTTAGGGGTACTTTCGTATTTCAACCTAACATTTTACACTTACTCTACACCAAGGGGATTCGAACCCCTCCCATTTTACACTTACTCTACACATAGAGATGATGAAGATAGTGAAAATTTTGAATCTCATAGGAACTCTATGTGGTGCTAAATCATTCATGTATCTTACCATGCAATGTATAAAGTGTAAAATATTGTACTAATTCATTATATATAAATGATTATGGTGTGTTTAAACTTCTTTCATTAATTACTACATATTTTCTACACTCACAATGTTTGCCAGCTCGCTATATAATCAACTTAAATAAGTTAAATCCATCATGCAATGCATTTCCTTCCAATTTTTTGTGATAAACTAATAGATAATTGACTAAATAAACATCTTACAAAGTTTCAATAAAAATTTCCAAGTTTTTCTTACAATTTCCGTGGTTTTTATTCAATTTTTATCGATATCGATAATATCCCGATATTTCCATCGAAATTTCCGTGTTTTTGGACTACCGATATTTCCGATATCATCGATATTTTAGACCTTGTTGGAGATTGCTTGAATATGTACACTTGAACTTTTATTGATATATAGAATGTTAACAAAGATAGATGTTTATAAGAAAGTGTTTACAAGGATGCTATGAAGACTACAGATGCTTGAGTGTATAAGGATTGAAGGTTGGTGTGAGTATGGTGTTTCTCTACTGTGTTGTTTCCGTGTACTTTACACTGAAAGGAATTTCTCCTTATATACACTGAATGACGATGCTAACATACAAAATTCTTTTATAATTGAATGGTGTGCCTTATTTTCCCTTTTGGCACTGTTTCTGAATCTATAGACATTGTTTCTGATTCTGACGGGATCTTGGCTTTTCTTCGTTTTGCTTTGATAAAGGCCATGTGAACCCATGTGAATCCTCCTGCATGGTTTATATTCTGGAGCTCGTGCCCTTACTTTATCATTTTGCATTCAATTGTTGTCTAGAAGTTTTCAAGGGTTGTTGCATGCTTTGTCTCTCTGGAGCCCTCATTTGTCACCTTTCTTATGCCCAATTTAGGTATTACCAAAATTTTTTGTCCTGATGATTAAAAGGAATCTTTTCAGGGGCTTGTGGTTAGTTTTCCATAAATAAAAATGTAATAAAATTCAAAATGTTGATGGTCAAGGTACTCCCACTTTCAAGATAATTTATTTATAAAATTAATATTCCACTTTATCATGTTAAAATTCAATATTCTTTTCTTTATTTATAAAATTAATATTCCACTTTTTCATTATGTTCCAATAGCTCATAATATATATGTCATTCTATTTTGTAGTTTATGATGAAATCTTATATATTTTAAATATAAACAAACACTTATTTACACGAAATATAATAAATTTAATTAAATCCGCCTAGACTCCGCCTCATCGCCTATGTGCTAGGCCCTAACCTGCCGCCAAACTAGCACCTAGCGTGTTTTAAAACCTTGGTCCTAACTTAGGTGAACTTTCACGAGTCATTCTAACGTAACCTGCAAGATTAAAAGTAGAAAAAAAAAGAGTTTTAACAAAACACTCTCGGTATTATTCACTTTTAAATAAAAACCACATTTTTACCTTTAATTGACACTATTCACTATACCTTTAAAAAAAGCTTTTCGTTGAAAGAGAAGTTTTTTTTTTAATTTTTCGTTAGTTTTCCTAAAAAAAGATAGAGAGATCCAAAAAGCTTCTATGGAAGTACTACATTGCGCAAAATCCTGCGCAGCTACATAAACCATCATCAACAACAATAACAAAGCCTTTTCCCACTAAGTGGGGTCGGCTATATGAATCCTAGAACGCCATTGCGCTCGGTTTTGTGTCATGTCCTCCGTTAGATCCAAGTACTCTAAGTCTTTTCTTAGGGTCTCTTCCAAAGTTTTCCTAGGTCTTCCTCTACCCCTTCGGCCCTGAACCTCTGTCCCGTGGTCACATCTTCGAACCGGAGCGTCAGTAGGCCTTCTTTGCACATGTCCAAACCACAGTAACCGATTTTCTCTCCTCTTTCCTTCAATTTCGGCTACTCCTACTTTATCTCGGATATCCTCATTCCTAATCTTATCATTTCTCGTGTGCCCACACATCCAACGAAGCATCCTCATCTCCACTACACCTACGTGTTGATGCTTCACCGCCCAACATTCTATGCCATACAGCATTGCCGGCCTTATTGCCGTCCTATAAAATTTTCCCTTGAGCTTCAGTGGCCTACGACGGTCACACAACACGCCGGATGCACTCTTCCACTTCATCCATCCAGCTTGTATTCTATGGGTGAGATCTCCATCAAATTCTCCGTTCTTTTGCAAGATAGATCCTAGGTAGCGAAAACGGTCGCTCTTTGGTATTTCCTGATCTCCGATCCTCACCCCTAACTCATTTTGGCCTCCGTTTGCACTGAACTTGCACTCCATATATTCTGTCTTTGATCGGCTTAGGCGAGGACCTTTAGATTCCAACACTTCTCTCCAAAGGTTAAGCTTCGCGTTTACCCCTTCCTGCGTTTCATCTATCAACACTATATCGTTTGCGAAAAGCATACACCAAAGAATATCATCTTAAATATTAAGTTTGTGATCTTCGCTAGATTGCTCCGGTCATTAGTGTGGATAAGTATGTAAATGGATAGAGACAGGAAGCAAACACAAGATGTATGTGGTTCACCCAGATTGGCTACGTCCACGGAGTAAAGGAGTTCTCATTAATTGTGAAGGGTTTACACAGTATATAGGTTCAAGCTCTCCTTTAGTGAGTACAAGTGAATGATTTAGTACAAATGACATTAGGAAATATTGTGGAAGAATGATCTCGTAATCACGAAACTTTTAAGTACCGAAGTGTGGTATCGTCTTCACTTGCCTTATCTGTCTCATAAGTAGATGTGGCATCTTCTTTGGAAGTACTCTTCCTCCCTCCAGGGGTGGTAACTTTAACTGGTGGAGATGCACAAGGTAATGTATCAATTTCACTTGACGTTTACTTGTAGTTTCAGGCTTGGTCAAGCGCGATACAAACCATGTAGTAGGAGTCCCCCAAGTCGCCGAGCTAGGGGATCTGCTGAAAAAGGTGACAGACAAGGTAAGCAATCAGAGCTCCAAGCAATCAGTCCCAGATCAGAAGTTTTGATTTCGAGTTCCGGCTGATTGTTATCCTTCTCCTTATCTTGCAGGTAGCATGAAGGATAAAGAGAAGAAAAGGAGAAAATGTGATATGAGATACTTTTGCTTTTGAAGAAGTAACTTTCCACAGGCTTATTCTTGAACTGGGCTGGAGGGTTTTCTTGTTTCCACCAGAGTATAAGGCCGACTGAAGAATTTGAGGGTCAAAACAAGTCCATCAAATCTAGAGTACGTTCGACCTTGCTGATATGGGATACTTTTGCTGTTGACAAAGTAGTGGATGTATCGGCACGTGTTCTGTTGCGCTTGTCTCCACATGCTTCCTTGTATCCTTCTCACTTGCCCTATTTGTTCCTTAGGCAGATGTGGTATCTTCTCAGGAAGCATAAGATGTTGAAGATGAGTACTCGAGAGCAATGGGGTTCCAGGCAGTCAGTTCCGGACTGGAAGCTTAATTCCAAGTGCTGACTGATTGCTCTCTTTCTCCTTGTCTTGCAGGTAAGAACAAGGCCAAAGGAAAAGACAGGAAAAAAGCATGATATGGGATACTCTTGCTTTTAACCCTGATGATATGAGATATTCTTGCTCTAGTGTAGCTTGTTTGCAGAGGTATTCTCGGGGGGGAAAGAAAGCTGAGTATTTTGAGAGGCTTCGTTGGGAGTGCCCTCTCAGATATGAGGAAGGGTTGAGCATTTTTGCAGGTCTGCCTGTCCGTTGAGGATGGAGGTCGACATATATAGGAGTCTCCTTCACAAGGAGTAATACTATTCTTTTACCCTGCTTGGTCATAGCACGGTAGTGGGAGCTGCCAGCTTCACGTGTTTTAACTCTGTCAGAGCACTTTGAAAAAGTGGTCTGTGGTATCTGGAAAGCTGATGTTACGTGTGAAGATTACAGACAAGCTTTATCCAAGGAGATCTGGCTCTTGAAGTTGAGAAAGCGGTGTGAGGATTCCAGACAAGCTTTATCTAAGGGGCTCTCGAAGTTGAGAAAGCGGTGCCTCTTCGGTTTTAGAACAAGCAATCCTGTCGGGGATCTGTCTCTCGAGATTCGGATAACAGTGCCTTTTCGATTTTTGAGAAAGTAATCCTGCTAGGTGTCTGGCTCTTGAGATTCGGAGAGCGGTGTCTCGTCGCTTTTTGAGAAAGTAATCGTGTTGGGAGTCTGGCTCTCGAGATTCGGAGGACGGTGCCTCTTCGATCTTGAAGCAAGCAATCTTGTTGGGAG